ATTTACAATGCATGTACGGACTACTGTTGTTGATCAGTTATATTCCATATGGAATTAAATCATTGGGTTTTCTAACAGTTGAACATTTTGCTTTTGGTGTTTTTGGGGAATTTTTTCTCTTGTTCTGGATTCTTGTAATGATGAAAGATGTGGCTAATTGTGTTTTTGAGGATGGATTCTTATGCATAAGAAGTTTTTTTAAAATGATTATCAGGTGGTTATTGGAGAGGAAGCAGGGAATGTGAGATTGGTTACACTCAACCGGCCTCGCCATCTTAACGTGATCTCGCCAGAAACGGTGCTTATGAGTTTTAGTCTTAGGACTGCTCTTATATTTAGAGCTTGAAGTGAAACTAACATTATATTATGATTTATACAGGTGTCTCTGTTGGCAGGATATTTGGAGAATTGGGAGAAAGATGACAATGTTGAGCTTATATTGATCAAGGTTATTTCTCTTGAGAATTCTTAACATTTTATTATGATTGAAAAAAAATATTATCCGTATTACCAAGAAAGCTGAAAATTCTTATTATTCCACTTATGTGTTTGGTCTACTACATATTTGTTTCAAGGAACCATCTTTCTTACTGATTTTATACTGCACAGACTTACTAAACTACTTTTTGTGGATAAATATTCTTGAAGTTTAAATATAATTGTAGCTCTCTTTGCAAAATTATGATCATTAGTCATTTCTATTATTGACTGTGTGCTATTGCCATTCTGTCTTGCATAGGGAGTAGGCCGAGCATTTTCAGCTGGAGGAGATTTACGGGTTTTCTACGAGGGAAAGAAATCAAGTAAAAACTTTGATCTTATGAATTTTTAGATATGTATTCCAACCCAGATATATTTGTAAATGACGTCATTTCTGGATTTACTTTTGGCAGAGGACTCCTGCCTCGAAGTGGTTTACAGGATGTATTGGCTGTGCTATCACATCCACACCTACAAGAAAACTCAGGTTATGCATCGTAGAATATGCATGGGTGGTTCATTTAGTAGCTAAATAAGTGAGATGCATCTTGAGTTTCTTTTTGCAAACTGTGGATAATAAGCCAGTATCATTTTCAGGTTGCTCTTGTTAATGGTATTACCATGGGTGGAGGTGCATCATTGATGGTTCCAATCAAATTTTCTGTCGTAACAGAGAAAACGGTTAGTTTCTTATACTTGAAAACAGTTATTTCATGTACCTATTACAACATTGTTCACCTTAGATAGTTATCTTTTCTTCATATAGGTTTTTGCCACTCCTGAAGCTGCTATTGGTTTTCACACTGACTGTGGCTTCTCATACATACATTCTCGATTGCCTGGTCATTTGGGTAAGCGAAGTTATGTGATTTTTTTTTGTTCTAGCATTGGAAGTTTCAGTGGAGACTGGAGAGGCAGAACTAGAATGAACTGTATGTGGGGAAGCAAGGGATAAAAACTGGATAGTGTGGTGGATAAGGCTCTGAAAGTAATAAGGTGGGGAGATGTAGGGTTCTAGGGATTTATAGAGCCCTTTAATCATAGCTTGTTTTTTTTGGGTAGAAACAACTAATTTTGATGATATCTAATGGACACTATCATAAATACAGTACAGTACAGATAGGTGTGTTCAACACTAATACAATCTTTTTTAATGTATAAACTATAAATAATTTTTTTTTGGTATATGTACTTCACATTTTATCCATAAAAGCATAATCGTAAGTGCTGGCATCTTACTTTCTTAAACTTTCAGTGACTTATTTCTATAGCTCAGGTAGAAAAGGATTTTGCTCACGGCAATTAGTTGCTAAATTTCGATCACATATTGCATAGTTCTAGTTCTAGGATGTATATTTCTCTTACCTATCTGGGCATGCACTTAACATTCTGATCACATCTTTGCAGGGGAGTTCTTGGCTTTAACTGGTACAAGATTAAATGGCCAGGAATTGGTTGCAGCTGGACTGGCTACTCATTATGTGCCTTCAGAGGTACAACTATTTCATTTCAGAGTATAATACATTGTAAATGCACCCAAAAATTCAGGTAGAATGCATGTTCCTTAGCCAATGCTGGGATTTCAGGGACATTTGACGGCTAAATGAGGATCATACTGCTTAAAATACTTCCTAATGTGTATTTCCAATTTTCAACTGCCTTTGATTCCAACTTTTCCAACAAAGTGAAGATTTTATATGTTAAAATATGTATAATGATCCTAATTACAAACAGATGAGGTGTCATGACACTTCGACGCCTTGCTCTGTGATCTTTTTTCCTAAATCTGTTGACTATCTGACTGCATATCTGACTGCATGCAGTACAATTCTTTTTTTTATGTTTATTGGTTCTTTGAATTTTCATTGAAACTGATTAGCGGAATGCAATGATCCTGCATCTAAAGTTTCACTTAATCTGCATTAAATTTCAAATTGGTTATCTATCTTATTTCTCTAAACAGAAATTATCTGAGCTAGAGAAACAATTGATTAGCTTGAATAAGGGTGACAAGGATGCTGTCAAGTCATTGATTGAAGAATTCTCTTCTGAGGTTCAGCTTGATGCAGGAAGCATTTTGAACAAGTAAACTAATGCATATCAGATATGTGAATTCTTCTGAACCTGCTACCCAAATACTAATAAACATTTGATAATGTTCCAGGCAGTCAATAATTGACGAATGCTTTTCTAAGGATTCAGTGGAAGAGATTATACAATCATTTGTAAGTTTTCATTAAAGTTCTATTATATGCTTTTATGTTTTTGGATTTTACAGCATATTTTTAGTGACAATTATGATGTTCAGGAAGCTGAGTCATTGAAAGAAGGAAATGGATGGATTGGCCCAGTTCTTAAAGGGTTGAAAAGATCATCTCCTACTGGATTGAAAATCACATTGAAATCGGTACCAATTTGCCTTTTCATTGTCTTGCGATTGTTGTTTGCCAGACCTTTATTCTTTTACCACTCTCCTCTGCTTTCTGTTTGAATCATCTCAGCTCTTATTTTTGTTGCAAATTTCTCATATGTGTGAAAAATAATTGCTTTCTACATCGGAGGAAAGTTCGGTAGGTGACTGGTATATTAGATTATTAGCCTAGTGGGCTACTGGCTTCTGTTACCAATTTGTTTATTTAATAGAACTCTATCGGACTTGTGTATTGTATACCTCTCTTCCTGAAACCTTATTTCACTGATCCATTGTCTATATCAATTTTAGGTACGTGAAGGAAGGAAACAAACCTTGGCTGAATGCCTCAAAAGAGAGTTTAGACTGACAATAAACATTTTAAGAAGCTGTATATCAGGCGATGTGTATGAAGTAAGTCCCAATAGATAATGTAGCAGCTATCTTTACAATTTACATGTATGGAAAATAATTATTCACTGTATCTTTTTTACTTGCAGGGTATCAGAGCACTCACCATTGACAAGGATAATGCTCCAAAGGTGTTGTTTCCTCTCACAATCAATCTCTCTCAACTTTGTTTGGTTAAATGAATTTGCTTGTATGATTCCTGTTTTGTATAAATTCACTTAAAGATAGATGAAGAACATGAAAAAGTTAATGAAATTAAACATAAAGACTTTCTGGAGTTTATCAAGACACGATTTAATTGGAGACAAGTTCCTTCAAAATCCGTAAATATTGTCGCCGCACTTATCTGGAGTGTTTATGTTAATTGCAGTGGGACCCACCAAGCCTCGATAAAGTACAGGATAAGGACTTGGACACAGTGTTCCAGCCATATGAAGCTCATGTGGAACTTCAAGTTCCAGAGACCGAAGAATGCAGGTTAGTGTTTGCGGGCTGCTCCCCCCCCCCCCCCTTCTCTCTCTCCCGCTCCCTCTTCTCATTTACTTCCTCTACTATGCAATCAGTTTTATGCTTAAAATAAGTCTCTTGTTTTAGTGACTATTGGTTCCTGTTGAAATTACCTACAGGTGGAATGGAAAGTATGAGCACTCAACTTATGCAACATCTAAAGTAAATTAGAAGGTTCCTCAGACTTCAGTGTATGTGTTTGAACTGTTATCGAATAATAATCCTGTGGCTAATTATTGACGGAATGAAATTTGTACCAAACATTTTCTCTCAAGTAATCAAGTATTATCAAATAATTCTGTTTGATGCGGAAAGCTTTGCTTTAGAATTATTTGTATGCAATTGTGAGGTGCCACGGAGAAAGTAGAAGCAACAGATCTTCGGTGTGTGGATCTGTGAAAGGAATTTGATAGTGTACTTGAATATGTGTTTAGACTAGATTTCAAGCTCTATTACTTGACTAATAACATGAGTTGTTTCTGTTGGTTTGATGATGCACATTTGGGCTGTGCGTTGTTGACTTATTCAAGGAATTATGAGTTTCAATCAGCTTGAAGGTTGCTTAAAATAAGTGTGAGAATAATTTATGAATTATGACTCTTTTCAAAAGGTTCCTCATTTGTTAGCATAAAAAATGAAGTGCCATTCAAGTGAGAAGCAAGAGAAAAGGTCCATTCATGAGATCATGTGAGCAGTCCCAAGTTCCCAACTAGCTATTCAATCGGTTTATCCGCTTCCTTTATGCATTGTGTAGCTGACTGTGAACGCGTAACAATGTAAAAACTTCTCAGAATCATCTAAATAATTTTCTGGCCTGAAATAATGGAGGAAGTGGGCCTAAACCACAAAAATTAACTCCAAAACCCCTTCTGTAAATTGTAGGAGAAAGAGGATGCTAAGCAACTCTGAAAAATTCAAATTTGTGCCTTTAAAGTCAACTAACTTGTATGAAATCAACAAGAAATTTGGAGCTTAAGTTTAGTCTCCCTTTGGGTAATGGAGGCTTCTGGATTTAAAGGACTAATTGTGTAACCCGTCCTATACTATATTAATAGGCAATTTCTGTTGTTGTAAAGGGTCTGGTCCAAGGCCTTATTTTAGACTACTCGTCAGACTCAAATTGTAACGGAGCTCACCCACAAGAGGCTCTGGCAGAAGGTAAGCCAAGCTCTAACCACTAGACAAGGAGTACTTGGTTATAATCTTATAGGTGTAGAGTAAAAAAAAAATGGCTCAAAATGGAGCTATGAGCTAAAGTACTGTACTTTATGAATCTTTACAGTATAGTGTCAAGGAAGGAGTTGTACATAGCCAGTTAAAATAGCAATACCTAGTATAACTACAGGGGGAAGGATCACAAACGCGCCAATGCTAGCAAAAAAAACTGAATCATTCCTTTTGGACACTTCATTCAGGTAGTCTTGTCTTCTGATGTTGCGCTTCTGAGATATGGTCAAGAACTTGGGGCTCACTTTCTTCAAATTCTTCTTACCAAGTGCAATGATGAAATCATCATCTCTGCCACCCACCAGTTGCGCAAGCTGCTCTCGTATGGTTACATTTCCTGATGAACCAGGGTCACTTTCATAACCTGAGAAATTTGAAGACAGGGCATCAGATGAAAATCTGGTTGCTTAAGGTATAGAGTATAGCAGCTCCCTTTGTACTCAAATGAAGAACCAACTGGGTGATCAGAATTACAGATTTTCATACCAGAAGCTGCTGATGAAGTTAGTTGATCCAATAGACCCAGCTGCGCCCGTGCAGAAGTGAATTGCCCTTTTAAATCAAAAGAAAAATATAAAAATTTGATAGACCACATCAAGAGGGGACTTGAACTACTATGGGTAGACACAAATTTTACAAATGCAAATAACAATCAAAATAAATGAAACAAAGTGTTATGCTTGTATTATATTTAAGAGTATCATAGGGTTGAAGAAAGTAGTAAAGTACCCCAAATAACTCAATATTGCCTCCTTAATATTACCCAAAATCTCCCAAAATCATCATGTGACGGTATTATAAACTTGGCAACCTTGATATCTTGGACAATTTTTGGTGTGCTTAACACAACTGAGTGACCAGAAGAACAAAAAACGGATCAACCCAATTTTTGATGTTCTTAACACAACTGAACTACACTCTTTTAGATTCCTTACTCTAAATTAACCTCTCATTATGATCTTAAATCCCAAACTTCTTACAAAAATCCTTGAGAGTTTACTATATGAATTTGATATATTAGTAAGATGGATGTCCTTATTGTCCTATAGAACACCAAGTTCAAATCTTTGCTGATCAAATGCCCCAAAGAAGTTTGTAAACAAAATTTTGTTTATGCACAAGGGGAACAAAAATATCATTCCATTCTATGATTATTTGTGATCATTCCAAACATGTTTCCCGAAGAATGGTATAGTATATTTAACAAGAAATTCATATTTATATTTGTCATTATGCAATACTGTTGGGATACTTGCTTGGGTTATGGTAAAATCTGTGAAACGCAATAAGCTGTCAACAATTTATAAACTAAAAGCGTGAAATGGGAGTCCATAAGGAATTCTTAGGACTGCAGTTATGCACAGGAATCTAATAACAGCTAAAATCTAATACCTGATAATAAAAATTGTCTACTGTATCAAAAAGTATCACTAAATTGTGTAATCTTCATCTAAGTTACTCGGATTCAGGTACTCATGTTGGATATGGGTTTGTGCAAGTGTCTTACTTGGTAATTTTGTGAAAATTTTCCCCAACATGAACCCATGTATCCAATACGGGTATTTAAGGTGAGATAAAAAGTCCGAGTTACATAGATTATAATGCACATATCTACACTCCAAAAGCTTAAAATTAATCAAATCAAATGAGTTCACAAAGGTAAACTTACCAGCATCCTCATAAGCAGAATCCTCAATCTCCTCTTCTGTTGTAACTCTTCCTTGACTTCCTTCAGACTGAGCAGCTGCAGACCTTAACTGTACTCCTGATAAAGGGCAGAGCTTAAAAAGATCCTTATTTTTAGGGAAGTTTGAGTAAGTTTTAGGGACACAACCAAACAAAGCCTTATTAGCAGAGGTAGTTGTGAAGTTCAAAGCCATAGAATTTTCTCAAGAATTGGTCCTCTTATTTCCATATTGCAGAGCTATCTAAAGTATCAATTCCATCATTTTTATTTATTCGTTGGACTGCAGTTTTCTAATAAAATCAGCAATTTTTTTCATGAATTAATGATTCATAAATGGTCACTTAGGGAGGAAATATATGGAAAAAGAATTCCTACCACATAATTTTCTGTGGCTGCTACTGATTCACACATCACAAATAGTGTCAACATCAACTCTGGGTTCTTCTTAGTCATTGAGTTTTATTTAATTTTTGCCTTTGCTTTTGTCTTGGGCATGAAATTATGAATTCGTTTTGTACTTGTGGGGCACAAATGGAAAACTATGAGTCTATGAGCCACAGCTAAACGAACTAGGCCGCTTGTAAAAATTTTGGTGCACAGGTGAAACAATATGAATTGTGGCTAAGTAAACTGGGCCGAAGACCCGAAGTGCATACCAAAGATACACATCGTGTAGAGGGATGGTATACCATGCCCAATGTGAGGACTCAGGAGTCTAAATAGGGACCATTTCTTATTTTTCAAGGCATATTTCAAGGGAGAAATAGGTGTTTTCTCACCCCAATTAAATGTTTGGAAAGAAGGGAGGGAGAAAAAAAATCCCTCAATACATTGCTCATGCTTCACCCAGCACATACGCCACACACGAGTAAGAAGACAGCAGTACAGCAGCACACACTCGAGTAAGAATAAAAGCACGCAAACAACATTGCACTCATCAACATATGTTGCACATCCTTGTGCACCTCATGCAAGCACAGTGCATAAGAATAAAGGTCAGATCGTTTCTTCAGAAGTTGGAATTTATGGACCGTTATCCCAGTAATGATCCACAATCTGAGCATATAGAAATTTCAACTTAGAATAACACATGATCCAATGACAGGAAGGCCATCCATAAAGATCTAGAGTAACCACAGGTTTCAGCAAGTCCCAACCAAACATCTAAAATTCAGTTTAACTCATTAGCCATCGCTGGGCCAAATTCCTTTTACTAGCAGGTTATTCCAACCGAGTAAATTTACATTACTACAGAGAAAAGCCAATACAAGCTCCAAAATGCAATCCCACAGTTTTACACTAGGAAATTCTCAAGTAAGCCAAAAAAATTCTATCACAGATTACACAGGATGGAGTCCATTACCAAAAAAGAAACTCCGACTAGGAGTACCAAAACCCTTCACTTTCAGCTATGAGAGCTACAATTCATCAGTTCATTTCAGTGCGAAGTTCTCATAACCCCATGAGCATAACCACCGGTCATTATTAGAGAAACAAGTGAGACGACACCTGCAGGGAATACCTTTCCCGACTTCTTGAATCGCGATCCCATCACAACAAGGAGTGCAGCAGACAGGCCGAGCCCAACTGAAGAAGCAAAGACAGGTCGTTTAGGAAGCTCAGTGTAGACATAGTATAACAGCAGGGCAGACAGTCCACCAGATGCAAGTGACTTCTGGCTGCCGCTCTTTAAGTAGCCCATAAGGCCTCCAAGTCCAACTAGGGCAGCATAAGCAAGGGTAATTTTCTGGGACATCGAAAGACCCTTATTCTTCTTGGCATCAGCATCATCTGATCCTTCTTCACCTTTGTTTTCACTGTTGTCATCACCTCCATCTCCACCCCCACCCCCACCCCCACCTCCACCATTTGCATCTCCACCACTACCATCGTCACCACCTCCACTAGCAAAATCAGGCTTAACGTCAAACACCTCACTTGGTGACTCAAAGTCGAGACTTGAAGTACTGGAAACAGCTGTTGCAATAATGCCCCTTTGGAGGCGGGTATTAAGCTGAGAAAAGGCTGGAGATGTTAAAGGGAATTGGCAGATCCTTGATTTGGCTGTTGAAGACAGATGGAGCTTATAACAAGAAACAGATGCTCCCCCATACTTCACAGATATAAACCCGCTTCCAGGTAAGGTAGCATGTGGCTGAAGCTGAGGCAGCAATAATGAGGATTGAGAGCCAGTTATAAGCCTGGTCATCTGTCATACCAATAAAAGTTTCAGGCAAAAAAGAGACAAAGCATACTCAAGACAGCTCCATTATAACTCTAAAAACACTTGAACAGAGCAACCTTCACAAAGAAAAACATGGAAAAGCTACATCCTTTATTTCCGTGGGAGGAAGTAGTTAGGATCACAGCGAAAGAGATATCTCAAGTGTTTCTAAAAAGTTCTATCTTCTAACATTATATACAAGATGTCACTATGTCACAGCCCCAGCAAGATAGCATCAACAAAACAATTTCATACAGGCTCTTACGGAGAAATAAAGCCACTGATTACATGAGATAAAAGCCACCACCTCTCCATCCCCCCTATAATACAAGCCTGCAGAGCAATTATCTGCTCGCGCTTGCACAAAGAATTTTGGCCTTGCGACTCATAAGTCATAAGTTCTCATTCCTACAGTCCTCAAAATTTTCATGAGAATAATAGACAAATGAGTGGATACTTATAAGATAAATCTCACAAAACCACAAAGAATGACATGGAAGTAATTGAACATGGATAATTTCAACAATCATACGAACACGAACACACATGCGCACACCCGGGTTGATCAAACATCAAATTATAACATCTAGTTAATTCCATAAAAATACTTGATGAAAACCCAAATGAATTCAAGTAGAATTCAACATTGATGAGTATTTTATGCCTATACTACCACCATGAAAGACTTTCACAAAGTTATCTCATAATACATTTTATTAAAACCTAAAATGACATAGAGCAACATTTGGAACCCATAACTTTATCAATCAATTGTAAAATTTAACTTCTTATAATTACAATTTCAATAAAATCATATTAGTAGCTAGAATTCTCGTTCCAAACTATTCAGAGCTAGAAATTAAAGAAAACAAATTCAATTCAAGATTCAACAAAAACACCCCAATTTTGCAAACAATCTAACAGAAATAACAAGTGGCCTAATTAGGGTTTAATAGAATACACTGAGAATAACAATCTGATTCAAACAATACTGCAAATAATGATATACATAAATCGAAAATTGATAATTGGCAGATAAAAATTGGATGGGTTAAATAGATGAGATGAAAAGAAAATAAGACAGAGAAAGAAGCTTACAGTGTTGCTAAATTGGGCGTTATTTTTGGGAGGATGAAATATCGAAATGTTCGATGAAAGAACTTGGCCTCCACTCTTAAACGTCAACTCTTTAGTTAGGGAGAAATATTAAGACCTTCCTAATTATTCTAAACTACAAAGTACTCCGTAATACAAGTATGAAACTAAAATTTATACTCGTAATAGTTATTCAATCTGATGTTCGATTTAGGCATTTGTTTATAAAAAAAAAAAAAAAAAAGGATGCGAGAGGGAAAAAAAAAAAGGGGGTAATACTTTTGAAAAAATTGATTAAGGCAAATATAACACGAGGTACTTAAAAATAGACAGAGAGAGTAATTAGCAAAAATTTGTCCTCCAAATATTAGATCATGCTTATGTAGAAGACGTAGAGACAAAACACTAGTTATATGGTGCATTTAGAACAAATGAATCACGCTTATAAAATGTACATTTACTAAAAAAAATATAAACACGTTACAAAAAAAATGAACAATTAAATAAATGGTATGACAGATGACCAGGCTTATAACTGGCTCTATAATAAAAGTATTTAAGATTATTATAATACATTTTTAAACTATAATACAAGAATTTTAACATATAGATCCGAGACATCGTACAGGATAAGCACTAATTTAGTTTTAAAAATGAACACTTTAAAAAAAACATATGTTATATTAAATATGAACATGATATGATTATCATATATTTTGATATTCATATAGATTATATAACTACTTAACTAGATGAAAAATTATTAATAATACAAGTGAATTGATGAGCGTAAAGAGGGAAGAGTTATGGCCCTTTGGGTTGTAACTCTTGTAACTGTTTTTTATGAATTCGGATAGTTGAAACCATACGGAGCCTAGTTAAGTAAAAATGCAACTAGTTGTAATTTTATTGGGCTTTTCACATAAGGCTTTTACACATGATACATTTAAACCAAAATAAAAAAAATCCCAAGCCCTACTATGCCCCTTAAATAGTCCGCTCCTTGTACCAACTTACTCTTACATATGAATGAAGATTACTATTATAAACCAATGTTTTTTGATGCAAACTATTATAAATGAACGTGACTATATAGTGTGGCTAGTCACATACAAAACTTACCGATTGTACAACGTTACCTTAAATGTATTTAAAGTTACTCTTTATACTACAAAATTATTTTTCTAATAATAAATTTTATCTTACAAAAAACTTATAATGTATTATATTAATTATATATTAATCTTTATTGTAGGAAATAAGTGATTCTCCTTAATCAAAGGAGTTAATTAGGTTGTAATTATGTTAGGAATATATTCTGCTTAGCTGTATTTCCTTATTTATCATAGCTCTTTGTGTATAAATGTAATGATAACCAAGAGTAATAAACGGACAGAAATTGAAAACCAAAAACACAATTCCGCTTATTTTACACATGGTATTAGAGCCGTAAGGTTCCGATCTTCGGGAAACCGAAACCTATTTAGTCTCATCATCTACCGGAAGGTTACCTTAAAATGGGGGACTCACCGGACGACAACAAAAAACTGATTTCAATAGAGCAGATGGAACAAATGTTCCAGATGTTTCAAAAATTAAACAAAAACCCAATCAACCCAGAATCTGGAAATGCACAAAGTGTGCGTATTTCAGAAAAACTCAATTACACAAATTACACCAAATGGTGTAAGTTGATGCAAATTGCAATTGGTGGCCGAGGAAGACTCGACCACATCACAGGCAACCCTTTAACATCAGACAACCCAGAATACGCCCAATGGGCCCAACGGGACTCAATAGTGTTCTCGTGGATAATCGAGAATATCGACGGAGATCTAGTTAATCAATTCCTTGATTATAAAACTTCCAGAGATCTCTGGAAAGGAATAGAGACTCTCTTGAGTAGTGGGAGAGACGAACTTCAAATCTATGATCTGAACTTGAAGGCAGCATCAATTAAACAAGGGAGAGACACCATAGAAATGTATTTCAGTAAACTGAATATATTATGGAAGGAAATTGACAGACGAATGCCAAATCCGATGAAATGTTCAGAGGACATTACTCTGTTCAATTCTTTCATTCAGAGACAACGGCTTTATCAATTCCTAGCCGGAATTGATAATTCTTTGGACAAAGAGAAAAGGGATTTACTGTATTTAGACCCACTCCCAACCCTAGATGCCGCTTATGCTACAATTCGACGGGAAATTGCCCGTCGCGGCATAATGACCGGCGACTCATCATCGGGACAGAGTCCCTCAGAAATTGGGAGTGGCTTGGTGGCGCAAAACCGGTCGGAAAAGTCATCCCGGTTAGAAGACAAGACGATGTTAAAATGCAGCCACTGCGGGGGAACCAAACACACCAAGAGTGGGTGTTTTAAACTCATCGGTTACCCTGAGTGGTGGGACGAATTGAGACAACGAAAAGCCGCCGCCAAGGCTACCGGAAACCGGACCGGTGGCAAGGCAAATTTTGTTGCTTCTGAAAGGGAAATCAACGGTGACGATGGAAGCTCACCCACAACCAAAAACACACCCGGAAAATCAACAGGTACAGGTATCAACCTCATCGCCAATTTTCATGGTGAAGCAATGAAAGAGAAAGGGAAAGTGACGGAAGAGGATGAAAGGTTTGGGAAAGTTTCTGGAAAAGAAACTATTTACGAGGAGGCAAAGGAATTTGAGGGTTTCTCAAAGAATTTCCATCAAAAACCTATGGCCCACACAATAAAACAACCCACAATTTCAACTCCTATTAATTCCCATCAAAAACACACGACCCACATTGAAACCCAACCAAGAAATTCCTTTTATTCAGATAAAAATTCAGAAAACTCATTTATCCAATCCGGAAATATGGGCCTCTTATGTAAATCAATGGGCTGGATTTTAGATTGTGGGGCAACAGACACTATGTCTTATGACCCATCCGACTTTATATCTTTCCATCCCACTAAACGTACCCAAATACAAACTGCTAATGGGGAATTAATTCCTATTGATCGAGCCGGAAAAGTTGATGTTTCACCCAATATTCATTTAAACGACTGTCTTTTAATTCCTAGTCTTTCTCATAAACTCTTATCTGTTAGTCAATTAACTAAGGAACTTGATTGTACTGTTTTACTAACATCCTCTGGTTGTATGGTACAGGAAGCTCAGACGGGACGGATTATTGGGAGTGGTACTGAACGAGGAGGATTGTACTTCTTGGATGAGGCGACTCAACACGGCAATGCTTTGCTTGCTCATGGGTCCCCGGAATATCAACTATGGATGTGGCATCGCCGGCTAGGTCACCCTTCTGTAGGTTATCTTAAACGACTATTTCCTTCTTTTAAAAACATTGATGTAACTTTGGACTGTGAATCGTGTGCCTTAGCCAAAAGTCATAAACATACTTATTCTCCTAGTTTGACTCATGCTATCAAACCTTTTATGCTTATTCACTCAGATGTTTGGGGTCCTGCCCCAGAGTTTTGCAATCCATAATTTTTCATACTTTGTTTTATTTGTGGATGACTGTACTCGTATGAGTTGGGTATATTTCTTGAAACACAAATCTGAAGTATTTGATGTATTTGTTAAATACTATAATATGATTCGTACCCAATTTAATGCAAAACCACAAATTCTTAGATCAGATAATGGGGGGGAATATATAAACCTAGATATGGAACAATATATTGCTGACCAGGGACTTGTTCACCAAACATCCTGTCGTGATACCCCTCAACAAAATGGAGTAGCAGAAAGGAAAAACAGGACTTTATTAGAAATTACAAGGGCAATTATGATTGAATCGGGAGTTCCTGTTTTTCTTTGGCCTGAAGCCATAGCTACCTCCACATACCTTACAAACAGACTTCCCACAAAAACCCTTGACTACGAAACTCCCCTTGACACCCTTTCTTCACACACCACCATCCCATCCTCTCACTCCCTACCACCAAGAGTGTTTGGATGTGTTGTATATGTCCACCTACCAAAGATTTATAGAAACAAACTGGAACCAAGGGCTATTAAATGTGTCTTTATCGGATATGGGGTTCACCAGAAAGGATACCGATGCTATGATCCGACTACAAGGAAAATACACACTACCCTTGACTGTGAGTTTTTTGAAAAATCCTATTATTACACCCAGCCTGGTCCTCAGGGGGAGACTAGTAGTGATGACCTTAGCTGGTTGACATATCCAGAAGTGATGGACCTTGAGGATCCAACAACCCAAGTAGACAGTACCACCGATGTTGCTTCTCCAGAGGTAACAGTTCCCTCATCTCCTCTTCAGTCCACACCAGATTCACCTACTGAGCATCCAACCGAGGATGTAGTTATATCAAGTGAGGTAAACACAGAAAATTCTGACCTTTGTGATTTACCTATAACTGATCCTGTTGTTCCTAGTGAAAATTGTCCGAACAGATATGAGTTACCTCCTAGGAGAACTAGAGGAGTTCCTCCAAAGAGGTATGATCCAGAATATGAGGATTCCCGATCCAGATATCCTATAGGAAAAATCAGCAACGAGAATCTTGCCAGTAATGCTATCGCATTTACAGCTTCCCTATACTCTACTGAGATTCCTAAAACAGTGGAAGAAGCTCTTGCTAGTAAGGATTGGAGAAAGGCTATGGAAGATGAATACTTGGCTCTAGAGAAGAATGAAACTTGGGAGAAATGTGTTCTCCCAAAGGGAAAAAGAACTGTGGGGTGCAAGTGGGTTTTTACTGTGAAGTACCGGGCAGATGGTACAATTGAGAGACACAAAGCAAGGCTGGTAGCAAAAGGTTACACTCAGACATATGGAATTGACTATTCGGAGACTTTTTCACCAGTAGCAAAATTAGATACTATTCGGGTTCTGTTCTCTATTGCAGCAAACCAAGATTGGCCTCTTTATCAATTCGATGTAAAAAACGCTTTCCTTCACGGGAACCTTGCTGAAGAAGTCTACATGGAAGCTCCCCCAGGATATGCTGAAACATTTGAAGTAGGAGAAGGGTGCAGATTGAAGAAGGCTCTATATGGCTTAAAACAATCTCCTAGGGCATGGTTTGGGAGATTTACAAAGGCCATGAAAGTTTTTGGGTACTCTCAAAGTAACTCTGATCATACTCTATTTTTGAAGAAAACAAAGGGAAAAATCACATGCTTAATCATCTATGTGGATGATATGATCATTACTGGTGACGATGAGGAAGAAATAACTAATTTGAAGAAAAAACTGTTCCAGGAATTTGAAATGAAAGATTTGGGTAACCTGAAATATTTCCTAGGAATAGAAGTACTAAGATCTAAACAAGGGATCTTTATTCATCAAAGGAAATATATACTTGATCTATTGGCCGAAACAGGAATGTTAGGGTGTAAACCAGCAGAAACACCGATTGTTGCAAATCATGGACTTCAAATCTTAGAAGGAGAGAAAGCAACCAACAGAGAACAGTATCAGAAGATTGTAGGGAAACTCATTTATCTAGCCCACACAAGGCCAGATATTGCCTACGCAGTAGGGGTTGTGAGTAGATTTATGCATATGCCTCAAGTTCACCACATGACAGCTGTAATGAGAATATTGAGATACCTGAAAAATACTAGCACCACTGGGATCTACTTTGACAAGAATGATAACCTGGATTTAGTTGCATACACTGATGCAGATTGGGCAGGAGACCGGGATGGTAGAAAATCGACTTCAGGGTACTTTACCTTGGTAGGAGGAAATCTGGTCACTTGGAGAAGTAAGAAGCAGAATGTTGTAGCCTTATCAAGCGCAGAAGCAGAATTCAGAGGAATTGCAAAAGGGATAACTGAAATTCTATGGATTCGGAAGCTAATGAATGAACTTGGCTTTCCTCAGAAGACAGCATGTAAACTGTTTTGTGATAACAAAGCAGCTATAAGGATTTCGGAAAATCCAGTGCAACATGATAGAACGAAACATGTAGAAATTGATCGACACTTCATCAAAGAGAAATTAGAAGGGGGAATTGTTGAACTTCCATTTGTTCGATCAAAAGATCAACTGGCAGATATCTTGACCAAAGCGGTCAACTCTGAGGCCTTTAAAGAAGCACTTAGCAAGTTAGGCATTGGAGTACTGGATGCCCAACTTGAGGGGGAGTGTAGGAAATAAGTGATTCTCCTTAATCAAAGGAGTTAATTAGGTTGTAATTATGTTAGGAATATATTCTGCTTAGCTGTATTTCCTTATTTATCATAGCTCTTTGTGTATAAATGTAATGATAACCAAGAGTAATAAACGGACAGAAATTGAAAACCAAAAACACAATTCCGCTTATTTTACACATTTATAGTATGTAATTATGATCTATAAGAAATCACACATTAAAATAAAATTCAAACCAACAACAAATTAAAAGTTACCCTTGAAGGGGTTAAAGTTACCATAAAAATAGTTAAAATTACCATTAAATCGACTGTCTTATAATAAAATTAATTTACATGCGCTTTGCACAAGACTCATTCTTTAATCAAACTCTTTCTTTATTTCTTTAGGCTAAATATTTTATGCTCCTTAACATAAAGTTAATATATTTTTAAAATCTTTGAATACTTGATTTGTATTAAAATATTGTGAGCTTTACTAATACGGAAAATTTTCAAGTTAACTTTGGAGGAAAAAAGTTATACTCGTACAATATTGTGTAAAATTATATAATCGTACGAATTAATTTACAATCTTTTAGTTGTAGTTGTCAAATCTCTATATCCATTATCATCTCAAGGAGTAGTCGAGGTTGAAATGGATCCCAAAATAAATCAATATAACAAAATCCCTGCTCAGAGAAGCTCCAATTTTCTCTATTTATACCAAAGCCTGTAATTCTTATAGTCAAACTCGATACACACCCCTTAATTGCCTGATCTATTGCTAATTTGCTAGGATCGCGCTTCATTCATTTTTTACTCGCCAACTGATACAAAAGATAGGGTGTACATGGTTCATCTACACTACATTTCAATTCACCTAACTGCAGACTGCAGAGTAGTCCAACCTCCATTTTGTTCTTATAGCTATACTTCCATCCTTTCACCCTCCTCGAGCATTTTCTCAAATAGTTCTTGAGCTTGTTCCTTCTTCATTCCATCATAAGCACCACTATATAACTCCATAAATGAAAAGCATTTCTGCGGTAAACCTATAGTTTCCATAAGCATAGCCACGTGTACATCCTTGTACAAAACATCCTACAATACAACAGCCAAGGGACTTTTAGAGGACATTGTTTTATTTTGATGTACTGAACCATTCATTACTAACGTCTGTATATGAAGTACGAACTCTTCAGCTAAGATATACCCCTGGTTTTGCCCATTAGGAGAACAAAGAACAGATATCTCTAGTCAGAAGGAGGTGCACTACTATGCATTACCTTTTCAAAAGGGCTACCAATAATCTCCACAACTGCATACACCATCTCTAAAATGGTGAAATCGACTGGTATCCCTAATTGTTATCTCCCTCTTAGTGACAAGAGTGATATGCTTAATGGCCTCATGACAATCACCACAAACCCGCAAGTTCTTGGTAACAAAAATAGGCTGGCTTGGGCTCAAACTAATTGTAGCATATGCAATAGCTAACTTTTCACTATGATAAAGAAGAATATGCTCCTTTTCTTCCTCCTCAACATCCTGGAATACAACACTTGGGACAGCCTGATATCCAAACTTTTTAATCTCTGTGAGCAATTCCTCCAATTTTTTATAAATTTGTTCCGATTGTGGGTGTGAATTGTCCCCACCGATGAATGCGTGAATTTTTCCATTTATCTCTACCCAGCTACATCCTGGTCTTTTCTTGAAGCCCTGATCGCTCTGCGTGATTCTTACAGAAGCCGCCTCTTCCCATCTCCCTGCACAACTATATATATTTGACAAAAGCACAAAATTGCCAGAACTTTCAGAACCCAAACTGTGGATTCTCTTAGCTGCTTCTTCAGCCAACTCAACATCCTTGTAGATTTTACATGCAGCAAGCAAGGCGCTCCAGACATGAACATTGGGCGTGCATGGCATTTTGTCAATGAAATTTTTAGCCTCTTCCAGAAGACCTGCCCGACCCAAGAGATCAACCATGCATATACAATGATCAACCTTAGGGGCAATCTGAAATTTTCGGACCATAGCATCGAACCAGTATTTACCTTCTGTAACAAGGCCTGCGTGAGTACAAGCAATCAAAAGACTGATGAATGTTATATCATCTGGCATCAGACCTTCAGTTCTTAGTTCACTGAACAGAGCAAGTGCATCTGAGCCAAGGCCATGGATACCATAGCCAGCAATCATAGAATTCCATGAGATAATATCACGTTTATGCATCCTATTAAATACTTCCCTGGCAGTTCTGATCTTTCCACACTTTGCATACATATCAATTAGCGCATTACAGATTGAAGTATCAGACACAAAACCACGGATTACAGAATATCCATGAGAACATGCTCCATATTTTAAAGCAGACAAATGCGAACAAGCTGGTAGCAAGGCAAGCATAGTAGCCTCATCTGGATCAATTCCTGAAGACTGCATGTTCCTGAAGAACTTCAATCCTTGCAGACTGCTTCCATTTTGCACAGAACCAGAAATCATGGCACCATAAGAGACTCTATCTATTGGATTCATCTCTTGAAAAAACTTGACAGCATCATCTAATATACCACACTTTGCATACATAGAAAGAGTTGTATTGCTAACCATCAAATCAGAAAGATACCCTGACTTCAAAATGTATCCATGGATCCTTCTCCCATTAGCAAGATCAATCAGCTTCGTGCAAGCTCGAACAGCACAACAAAGAGTTACCAGTGATGGACTTCCTGCCTCCTTGAGCAACATATGGTTGAACAGTTTCAAGGCTTCTCTCATCTGATCAGATGCAACATATCCACCAATCATGGCACTCCAAGTGACTTCATTCCTTAAACTCAACAAGTCAAAGGTTATCCTCGCGTAAGAAATGCATCCACATTTTCCATACATATCAACAAGCCCTGTGCCCACCATAACCGCATTGGTAAAACCCCGCCTCACAGAATAACCGTGGATCTCCTTCCCATGACTCGAGGAGCAAGCCTGAGCAACTGCCGGCAATATAGTCACAACAGTCGAGGAGTTGGGGCTAATTCCTGCTTCCTGCATATCAACAACCAATCTGATCATATCATCATAAAACCCATAAACAGAAAAACCAGCAATCATGGCATTCCAAGCCACAATATCCCTACACGACATACCATAAAACACATTCTCCGCTCGAGCCAGCTCTCCACACTTGGCATACAAATCAACCAAAGCAGTGGAAACATACACATCCGAGTCAAACCCAAGTCGGAGTACATGACTATGAATCTCTTCACCACGTTCTATAGCATTCAAACCCGAACATGCCTTAAGAACAAAAGGGAAGGTATAATTGTTAGGAAGAATCCCAGAAACAATCATTTGAGAGTACAAATCAATGGAAGCATCAAAGGGTCCATTCCAAGAATAAGCCCGGATCATCAAATTCCACAAAACAACAGTTGGTTCAGGAATTTCATCAAACACGTGGCGTGCAATACTTAACCGCCCACAAATAAGATAAAAACGAGTGAGCTTTTCGATTACAACAGAACTTCCATTGACATGGTAGTTGTAATTCTTTAGAAAATGTTGATGAATGATTTTGCCATGTTTAAGTGATTTGGTTTGAATGCAGTGTTCAAGCAATTCTGGGTATTTGTCTACTGTTATGGCGTGTAGGAAGCGAGTGGTAGTGGTGAAAAAAGGGCGGCCAACACGGTTGAGTCGTGCGAGACATTGCACCATCTTGCCGTGCTTCTCTTGCAATTGTGTGCAACGATGTCTGAGTGTCTACTTTCTTTGTTGTTGCTCAGTTCATTTTGCCCGCCAATTTATGATATGAAAGAATGAGATTTTATTTTATTTTAACCTCTTTTAACTTTTAAGATGAGAGGCTATTATACTTCATCCGTGTTTTATACGTTAACAATAATTTCAAATACTAATACATTACTTAATATAAGTAGCTAATATGACATTCATGAATTACTAACTTATACACACGAGCTCTCAAAATCAATACAAAAATATAAGACCATTTGAGTAGTGTTATAAATTTATTTGCACTTTATAAAGATTATGATTAAAAGCTAAAATGACCGTTGGAGACCTTGGAGTATCGTTGAAAGCAGTTTGCCGCGCTGACAAACAACCCATTCAATACTTTTTAAGTTTTTATCTTTAAATTTTAATCCTCTTATTTCATTTTACAATTACATATGCATAATGGAATGAAAATGTACAAACTTATATTTGTTGTCATGTTTCATTGTACAATGGTTGCACCTATATTTAAGGAGTGTACTACCCATTGGTGAGACATGCATAATGGCATGAGAATTATCTTAGTGGATGAAATATTTATACCAACAAACCAGTAGATTTTTTTTATGTAAATAATTGATGAAATGTTGAGATTTTTCATTTCATATTTCCATTGTAAATTCTTCTATTTTTTACTCGAAATCTATTTGTTATCTATCTAAAATATTAATTTAATACGAGGATCATTTGTCAACTTAAAATACCAATATAGTAGCTAACAATTCATTTAATATGTGTGCATATCCTAAAAAACACATGTATAACCCGGATGGATTAATGTGAACCAGTTATATATTTAAGGATAAGTTTATGAAACTATAGAGGTTAGATAATCAAATCCAATTAGAAGATATTTAAGGATAGTTCAATATTAAGAAGCTGTGCTAAACTAGTAATCAGAAGATATTGCTACTTATTTGAAGGGGAATTTACATTAACTCTGCAAGACCAACAGGCCCAAAGTTTCTGAAGATTACTAAGGAAAAAATGATTAAAAGTCTCAATTGTAAAACATTAGATCACAATTATGAGGACAATGAGATGAAAATGAAATACTTCGGATCAGCGTATCAATTTGGGTTCCCTGGATGCTATCTTTGCTTCCCTGGTGCCACCTGCTGCGATGCTGGGAGTTGATACAAAGATTTGAGTTGCCGACTAATCAGCTTGCTGTTGTTTATAACGGTTTGGAGTTCCAGATCATCAGCCCACCACTGCTCCAACCTATGAGCATCGAGAAACTTCTGATTTCCCTTGGACAATACAAAGAGCTTTGCAGCCACACTGGCAGCATTGTTGTTCACAGGAGCCACATTCTCTTTACTGCCACTGTTGTTTCCGACTTCAACACTCCCAGTTGGATCAGCATAATAGCAGCATACATAATCACTGTTATTTACATACAAATGCGGGACCCATTTTCTCAACACCTCATTTGCCACCTTGTTCTGATCGTCTGTTGATATGCTCTGGATTTCGGCTCCTGAAGGAAGCATTGCCCTGATTCTTTTCCAACCAAAAACCGCTTTCTCTCCAAGATTCTTAAGGCTCATGGCTAGGGAAACCGATGGAGGGTTGAATAAATGAGCCTCCACATATATTCCTTCTTTGGCTAATGCCTTCCCGATCTGAAGGGCAAACCCAGCACCTAATGAATGACCGACAATAGAGACATTACCACTTCCATACTTGTCTGCAATCGATTTGAGTGCATCAAAAGCCACTTTGAATCTTACTGAACCTTTTAAACTTTCCCAAGCAAGGAAACGGAGGTCATCAGTTAAATCCCTTCGAATTGTCACGCTCTTGAGGATTGTTCCTCTTAGAGCTAAAACGGCCTTTGGGGCCCCACTTGGCCGCATGAAAATGAAGTCAGCCAAAGCTGCAGAGCGGTCCCATTCAAGTACTGCTCCGAATATGGATCCATCTCTCTCATCGATTAAGGTCTGAGTTAATTTGTATTTGAAAGGCAACCACCACTTTGGAGCCAAAGCATTATCGGGTGTTCTGTTTTCTTGCCTGTCAAGCTCTAGCAGGTAAGCAGCTTGTATGAAGCACGCCATGACTGTTCTTTTATAATTGCCATCTTTCCTGCATATGTCCACACAGCAATGAACTATACTTTTCTCATGACATAAAAATGCCCGCACATAAAGCCTATTGCTTAAGAGCAATTACAAGGTAATTTTTATGACATTCTTTATTAAAAGATATAAGAGGAAGCATTGCATGTCCAGGCAATCTATAATGTACATGCACTGGAACATGTATCTTTCCCCTGCACTCTGGGAAAGTAAGCTCAATAAATCAAACTTTATTGGCGCCAGCATTCTTGCAGCTATTGTTGGTCCAGGAGAAATGACATCAAAACTAAGGAGGCATCTACAAAATAATCCAAATTTATCCACTCAAATTTTCAAATTAAATAGTCTAGTCTCCAACAAGTATGATGATGCAAAGGACGACAAATCTCAATCTATAAACTGTATATGAAGTGTGTACAGGATACTTCAAAGGGTTACATGCATATTTTTACTTAAGAATTGACGAGTTCAATTCAACTTAGGAGCTATTTACTGCCAATGACCCATGGTGTGCAATAAAGATTCTTCTGCCATGAGGAAATATCAAAATAGTAAAGCATAAAGTAACTGAATAGTATATAAATTATATCAAAGAAGAATTGAAGCTTTCATTACGATATCACTTAATTGTTTCACAAACTAAAAACACACACACACACACACACACACACAAAAAAAAAAAAAAAAAAAAAAAAAAAAAAAAAAAAAGACCTGAATTAATCTTTGATAACAAGCTCCAAATGGTGTTACTCCAAGAAAATTCAAACACTTTCAATAACAAGGTTTCTTCTAGCCCACACGGATTTGTTTTTGAACACCTTCCCAAAAAGCATTACATTAATTGGAGTGTGCTCTCACTTATAAAAGCTCTTCACTTTCTTATTCTTTCCATGTGGGAATTGGATTACCCCAACACTGAATTTCCATAAATGAGGTATATATTTCATAAATTCTGGTCATCAAAAGCCTTCTGCAACCCTTTTTTTGGAAGACCAAATATAGTACTTCATATAGTATGACTCTATGAGTAAATAAAAGAGATGCTCTAATTCAATATTATCCAGAAAAACAATTCAATTAGAAACTGGACAGTAATAAGCGAGGAGTAAACAATTAAGCTTATTGCATTGCTATGAAACCTTGCTACAAACGCTTCATACTTTTGCAAAATCGTGTGTTTGGTAAGAAAAGGTAGTAATGAAATTAAATTATACATGTAAATTCTACCATCAACAACACGGGTCGTAACGGCTAAAACACGGAAGATACAGCTTCCTACAATAGCCAACAAGTTTCATGCCATTAGTATTACTCGAAAAGCTCGTTTTAGTTCGAACAGTTATACAATAAAAAGCCTAAGTCAAAATGACAAAATGCATCCAGGAAAAAGTGATATTTACATCCAAATTCCCAATAGATCACTAATCAAAGACAGATCACTAGATCAGTGATCAACTGCTGAAGATTTAGAAACATGAATCCAACATTAACAATACTAAGCGATGTACACAATAGATAAGCAACCATCTAAAACATGGAATCATAAAAGGAAACTATTAGATCATGATTTTTTTTACATGTATCATGTACTTTCCTTTATTAATTTAAACTTTCCCCTTTACCTGTTTATCCAATTCCAAAATCAATAGCCAAAAAACGTAACAATATCCCATTATTAGCAAATTCTCAGATCAACCCCATCAAAATAATTAAATTGGAAAAAAAAACATCAAATTTAGAAATTCAAACCCCATAAAAATATAATAAACAATTAGATAACTAAAAAAAATCAGGTGACAAAATTTCATAACAAAAACCCATCAAAACCCCAAAAAGTTGATAATTTCGTAAACACGTGGCCAGATCAAATACCGTCTACATCACTGTTGCGACTCTATACTACTACACACCAAATAAAACAATTCTAACAAAACAAGTAATTTAGAGAAAAAAGAGGAAATCAAACAAACCAGCTAGAATTGATGATATCTCTCCAATTAGGCGAAGAAAGATTCCGAGGCCCAGAAACATGAAATGCATAAGGGTGACTTTCAACACCGCCACTTTCCACCATTTGCATAGTGTTTGCAACCATTTCTTCTTCTACTTGACGATTTCCTTCAATTTCAACCGCCATTTTTTTTATTTAATAGAACCCCCTTTTGAATAAAGTTTTGATCTTGAAGAATATGCTATAATTATAGTTTTGGACCGTCCCTTTTTTTGATTCAAATTGAATAATGTCACATCATTTGCAGAAAAATGCAGAGGAAGAAGATAAGGAAAATAAACCCCAGAATTGGATTCCTTATTCCCACAACCAAACACAAATGAGAGAAGAATTTGAGGAGAGAGAAATAGAAAATGGAAGAAGAATTGATTCTGGGTTTTGTGATTTGAATTGAAGAAGTAAGCGGAGGAGGAGTGTGAATGTTGTTTGTAATTAGTCGTTGGATTAAAAAGGGAAGAAAATAAATGTAATCTAATGGGATTTTTAATTTGGTGTTATAGATTTTCTTTCCTTTTTGCCCAACGGTCATATTTCGTTCGTGTTGTCCCCTGTTCTCGTGCTCCTGACGTTGCTACTAAGGTTTAAACCACTTATCTATAGGGATGGCAATATTAAGTGGATATCCACAAACCCGCTCCACCCGCTATAAATATATGAACGAAAACTCGAATTAAATGGATGAAAAGCGGGTGACGGATGAAGCGGGTGATGGATCAGATCGGATGTGGATGATACTTTTTTCATCCGCTAACCATCCACCCACCCATTTAACCTATATTAGATTTTTTAATTTAAGAATTTTAATAATAAAATATGAAATGTGCAAGAAAATTACTTATTTTTTATGTTGCAAATTAATTTTTCAAACATATATTGTTATTGTTTCATTTTTAATTAATAAAATAAAAAAAATTATTGTACAATTAACCGAATTTAGAGTTTATGTGAGTTTTTTTTTCCATTTTAATACTTATCCATTAATCATCCGCTCCACCCGTTTCATCCGCGGATGATGGACGGACGGATATGGATGATGGGTGAAGCGGATGATGGATGGATATGGATGGAGCGATTAAAGTAATGATGGATGCGGGTGAAGCTTCACCCGATCCGAATCCGATCCATTGCCATCTCTACTTATCTAGGCATTAGATTTTATCTTAGGCAGATCCTGTAAAATTGACTTGACTATTTCATCATTTTTTTTCTTTTTTGAGGAAAATTAATCGAGTTTATCCGAGTGAGATTGCAAAATGTAAACATGTCATTTTTGCTAAATTTACACTATTTTTTATAATTTTAAATTAATTTATACAAATTTAGTATTTGAAAAAGGATCTTGCTATCGAATGTCCCTGGGACATTAAACAAACATTTAAAATATTTCCTATAGTATTTTTGTCCAAAAAGAACCCTAGTCTCCTCTCTCTGTCTATTCTCTCTCTAAACACTAGCCTCCTTTGTTAATTTTGAAAGGGCTTTCATCAGATTTCACCGGTGGAAAGCTCCAATTTTTATTTCTTTTAAGTTTTTTATTTCTTAGGTTACAATAATGTCTCCCTCGAAAAAAAGGGTCTATCTTATTCAATAAACAAGGTTTTTTCGATCTCCTTTGAAAGAGAAGGTTTTATTTGTGTTTAATTTGGTCTCCAGTTGTGTGGGGCTATGATTGATCTTTGCTCGAATTCAGGTTACGAAATCAGCACAAGAATTTTCTTTCTCACAAAATTACGAAGCGGCGACGAATCCACTCAAAAAGTTGTATGAGACAATGAATCGAGAATGTGCCGAATTGTTATATTTATGTATTTGGATTCTTAGCCCTTCCCCAATCAATTCTTGTTTGATTTTGATAAATTCGTTTTCATTATCGTTAATTGTCAATCATAGATGTCGTAGGGCTTTAATTAATGAAATTTAGTGTCCTTTAAAACTTCTTTCAAAAAAATAAAAAATATTTCCTGTAGTATTATTAATTTGGAAATGAATGTCAAAACCACACGTCAATCGATGTAATTAATGTCACTTTAATTTAATATTTGTTGTGAAATAAAGATAAACATTAGAGAGAATGAGAGTGAATCGATCCGTCTATCTCTATTCTATATGATGGGGGTATATATTTATACAATATAATTAGAGTTTGCTTGGATAATAATATAAATCATAGATCTAGAATATTTCGGAATGATACAAAGAGTATATAATGGGCATCCACACAATATTTCATAACAATATTTCTTCTTTTAGTTATCTTATCCAACACCCCAGAGCGTTTGTTAGCTTTTGCCTTGAAAAAATCTCCAATAACTAACTATTTATTTTCAATAGATTACTCGTAATTAACTTTTTTGGTGATCAAAATTATACCATATTGTAATTCCTTATAATAATTTACTCTGTGCATTAACATGAGTACATTCTAGTTTTAGTACAAATACTAACAATAGTATTTGTAAGAGATTACCCTATGAATTGAGATAAGCAGCCTAAGACCATCTCCAATGGTGAGACTTGAGAAGTTTTTTTATGAGAGAAAGAGAGTATTTTTTGCAAAAGATACCAATAAGTTGGTATCTAAACTTAGTAACTTTAAAAGAAAGTTGCTAAGTTTAGATACCCAACTTTGAATCTCATTTGATAAAAAGTGTGGGTCTCTTATCAATATTATAATATATTTTGTAATTTATAAGTTTTAATTTATTTATTTATTTTTAAAAAAACTTACGATATGAATATGGTGGGCCATAAATTGAAAGTGACATTAGTATACTTTAGAGAGTTTCACCATTGGGAAATTAGACTTCACATGAGTTGCTAAATTGGAAAATGACTTGGGTGTCACCAAAATAACTTATTTTGTATTTCAATACTTAAAGTTGAGTCTCACCAATAAAGATGGTTTAAAAAGGTAAAATAAAATAAATGGAGAAATAAATAAAATATATATATTACTGTAAAAATTGTATGGGCATTGCCGCGTCAAAAATTAATTTCTTCAATTGGTTGCTGGCAATTGCAATGAAAGGGAGAGTCAAATACGTCAAGAGGTGCTTACTGCTTAGTTCCCTACACGCTTTAGACAATAACCTTGGTTCTAGAGTTATATGGTTTGTGAAATTGTCTAGCTCAAACTTCTAGTGCAATTAAAGTATCACTTCAACAGATATAAGTTTTTGTAAAAGAAATACTATCTTCGTTACTTTTTAATTGTAACAAATAAATAAAAAATTTATATTTCACAAATAATATCCCTTAATTGTAACTTACAGAAATAGAGGTAGTATTTTCAACTTCTTATTTTTTATACCTAATCAGCTTCATAAAATTAGAATGTTACCCATAGAAAAAGGGAGTAAAAGATATCAAAATTTTCTTAATTACGCCTAAGCTAGTAAATGTCTGCCTAAAAAGTATTACCACTTGAAAACAAACATTAAGCATCAACCCAAAAGTCATTGTCTAAAACAAGTTCCTTTCAAGTTTTTGTGCCTATTGTTTTCTTTAACTTTTAGAATGAATAGAGAGTTTGACTACTCAAAAATTTCAATCATTTAGCCAAACGTTTATTTCCTTTATCAAATGTTAGAGTTCATCACGCATTCGAACATTTATTCACTTCTACATTAATATAATACGGACTATTTTATAAAATTATTATAATTATAATTTTAGTCTGTTTGCATTTCTTTTTGTTTGTTCCATGTTTCTTTTTAGGTTTTCCATTGAGGAATTGAGGTTGCTCTATTTATTTATTTGACAAGTTTTCTACTTGCGATCCCATTTGCTCCTCCCTTTCTGTCCTAATCAACTCCACTTGCAACCTCATATACACGATTTTACCTTACTTAAAAATAAATTTTGTTCTATGGAGCATGATCCTCTAGAGTCAAGTCTTGCTTTCAACTACAGTGTAATAGTGCTTTAGATTGGAGTAATTAGGGGTGGGACTTTTCAAACCGAACCGTGAAACCGTCCGTTACCGAACCGAACCATCACGGACCGATCTGTTTATAAACCGATAAATATAAACCGAAAATCGAACTGAACCGTTCAAACCGAAACCGAATTGAACCGCTCAATGTCAACCCGTTACGGACCGTAAACCGATAACAAACCAAACTGCGCAAATCCGAACCGAAACGAAACCGAACCGAATGGTTTATAAACCCGTTAATGACCCGAACCGTTTATAAACCGAAACCGTTTAAACCGAAAAAAAAACCGTTTAAACCGAACCATTTGTAACCCGCTAACCGTTTAAACCGACCGTTTATGAACCGAAACCGTTTAAACCGCACGTATAAACCGAACCGTTATAATCCGCTAACCGTCTAAACTGAACTGCCATAACCCGTTAAACCGTTAAAATCGAACTGTTTTCGAATCGCAACCTGTTTAAACTGATCCGATTACAAACTGCTTAACTCAAATTGAATTATTTACAACCTAAATGGCTAAATAGTAAATACAATTAATGTTAATAAATGTAGATATAATCAAACGGCTTAGGTTTATACAAAGGTTTATATCACCTAGATCTAGGCCAACGGCATTATTAATATCGTTTTAGATTACTTATTTATTTTAATTACAAGATATATCATTTGTATCATTTTCATTCCAGTAATAATCCTAGTCCACCCAAATTATCTTCATTGTTCCTTGATATTCATGATCATCCAATAACACTCAAAGCCTCAAAGGTAACATAAGATTGGAGATGTATGAGATTGCGTTACACAAGTGGCATAAGCATTAGAATATTACTGTACTAGTCAATAAGGCGTACAATCATTCACATTATCACTTTATAAAACTTTCTTATACAAGTATTTTGTAAAGGGGAGGACTAAAATGTTTATAAAACACATTTTTTTAGCTTTTCTTTTATTAAACCAGATATTAAGTAAAAGAATTTTAATAAATACGGAGGCATCCCAAATCTGTAGCCACAATTATTTCATAACATTACCACAAATCCAGCAGATAAATAGCATTGAAATTAGAGTAATATCAACAAGCAATTAAAAAAAAGTCACCATTTTCATTGATTAAAATTCACAATACATATACCAATACATAATGAAACTACTATCACTACTACCCAGATTAGATTTCAGATTTATCAACTGAAACATCATCAAGTTTAGGGTTGCAAAAAATGATACATTATAAGATGAAGGGAGGAGTGAGAATGTGAGTGATTTGGGAGAAGAATCTTGAAGCAGCAGCACATCACCCAAAAGCAGAGGAAATAGCAGCAACAAGCAGGAACCAGCACACGGAATAACAGATCAACAACTTATCAGAAGCAAGGAATAATATAAGCAGAAGGGACTCAGCAGGAACTTATTTTTGTTTTTCAAAATTGCTCTCAGATTTACGTTTATCGTATCATCACTGAGCAATGGCTGTTTTAACTTAAAACTTGAAAAATGCTGCCAGCAAGTACATATACATTGAAGTCTCAACATAAATGACAAGGGCAACGATGATTCAAGAAAAATTAAAACAGCAAGCATAAGAAACAGCAGCAACAAAACTTATCATAAATTCATAACACAAAAGGCAGCAACACAACACCTCAAGCTGGCAGGAGGCAGGAACCAGCTCATGCAGGCAACAATATAGGAAATAACAACTCAACAGAGACAACAACCAAAAGGCAAAAGCACTACCAGCAGGCAGCAGCTCATAACAAGTTCAAGCAACTTCAAAATTATAGCTTTTGTTTTTTTAAAATTGCTCTCAGATTTACATCACTGAGCAATGGTTGTTTTAACAAAAACTTAAGAAATGCTGCCAGCAAGTACCAAAATACATTTAACTATTTAAGCCTCAACATAAATGACAAGGGCAACGATTTTAAAAGTCTTGAAAAATGCTGCCAGCAAGTCTGAAAATAAATGATAAGGGCAACGATTTTAAAAGTCTTGAAAAATGCTGCCAGCAAGTCTGAAAATAAATGACAAGGGCAACGATTTTTCAAGATAAAATAAACCACAATGAGACACAAATACCAGTTATGCAGATGAAGCACTTTCGGCTTCAATCTCTTTACCAATAAGGAGGACGTCTTCCTCAACATCCGCTTGATAACCACGGCACCAATTTTGGGTGGTAACCAATGCCTCAACATTCTTTGGCAAAAGTTTACCCCTATATCCTCAAAAAGAAAAAAGCATACATAAGAAAAGCTTAAACTTTTTCAAAAGTTTCCAATGAAATTATGAACCTATAAATAAACATGAGATGTTTATTTTACTAGCCCTAAACTAGCATTTATTTTATGCACATAACTGCAGAAAGTGACACAATTTGGTCTTTTGTTAGGTAAAAAAGCCAATAACCACACAATCTGAACAACCCATCATCATTACTTTTAAATCGAGCATAATAAACAACAAAACAGCACAAATCTACCACTTTCCCGTAAAAAACAAAAATACAATCAACAACAGATTTTAGGCATATTTCGACTATATTCAAGCAAGAACAACAACAATAATCAAATACAAAAACAGAAAAACTGTATTTAAAAAAAACGAAAAGGAAAAAGTAATTACCTTTGACGGCTTGAAGGAGATTTGAAGATGGAGAACTGCCTGAACTGGAGATCAAAAGAAAAAATCAAGAATGTAGATTATCAGAACTTGAAATTAAAAAAAAAAAAAACCGAAACGAAAACGAAAAAAATCGAAAAAATTAAAAAAAAATTACCTTGAGGTTTGACGGCTTGAAGGAGAGAAAGATTTGAAAAAAAAAACGAGAATGGAAAAGTTAGAAATCAGAACTTTGGATCCAAAACAAAAATGAAACGAAAACAAAAACCCTAAATAAAAAAAGTAAAAAATCAAAACGAAAACGAAAAAAATCAAACGAAAACAACAAAAATTAACAAATAATTACCTTGAGGTTTGACGGCTTGAAGGAGAGGAAGATTTGGAAAAAAAAAACGAGAATGGAAAAGTCAGAAATCAGAACTTAGATCCAAACAAAAATGAAACGAAAACAAAAACCCTAAATAAACAAACCGAAACAAAAACGAAAAAAATCAAAACGAAAACAACAAAAATTAACAAAAAATTACCTTGAGTTTTGAACTTTTGACGGCTTGAAGCCTTCAAATTGAAGGAGAGGAAGATTTGAAAAAACAAAAAAACGAGAATGTAAAGCGAGAAATCAGAAATGTAGATCCAAAACACAAATGAAACGAAAACAAAAACCCTTATTAGGATTTTTAAAAGTTGAGAAGTTGAGCTTGAGATTCTTGAGAATTTCATAACGAAAGAGTGAGAAACTGAGAAGTTAGAGAGAGAAACTATGAGTGAGTAAAACGGCTGAATGGCTGATAGAGTGGGTTTTTTTTTCTAGGTTTAGGTTTTACTTGTTCAGTTGATCTAACCGTCCATATTCAATCTCAACATCTAACCGTTCATTTATTTTATTTTATTTTTTTGTAGATTCCAGAATATTCATCTAGATCTAACGGTCTAGATTTTTCTTTGTGCTTTTCTAGGTCTTTTTGACCGTTTTTTTAATTATTTATTATTATTATTATTTTGAGGGATTATTATTATTATTATTATTATTATTGTTAGTATAATTATTTGTTAATATTATTATTATTACTAGTTTACTACTACTATTATTATAATATTATTATAATTATTATTATTATTATTATTTATTATTATTATTATTATTATTATTACTATTATTATTATTATTAGTTTATTACTTATAATTTATAAATTGTAAGAAACGCAAATGTTTCAAAATTGAAATTGATTCAATACGACATAGTTAATGACTTAATGAGTTAATGCACATCAATATCTGACATCTCTATATGTATATTATATATATCTGTGAGTCTGTGACTGTATATCAGTATATATATATAATAAACTAATAATAACTTAATAAGTAATACTAATAACTAATAAAGTAATGAAAATCTAACCATTGTTTTTCATGGGCATTCAATCTAACCGTTGTATATTTGACTATTCGTACATTAGTATTGCATAATGATTTCATCACCACTTTAATTAGTGATTTCGTGATTTCGTCCATTTAACTTATTAAGTTGTTTGAGTTAGTAATCTAAATAAAGTAACAAACTAAATAACGAATCCATTTAATCTCGTGTAAGTTATAATTTATAAGAAATGCAATGTTTGGAAATGGAAATTGATTCAATACGATATTGTTAATGTATATGTAATTATAGATTAATTATTATGTATATCATATCGTACGAATGTACGGTTGGTATCATTATCATACTATCATAAGTATCATTGCCTCATTGAATTATTGGTATGTACTACAATCGATAAACATATTTACATATCTGATCATTAAAACTTAAAAGTTTAAAACACTTGTTGATCAATCTAATTGAATACTTGTACATTCTTAATTATCGATTTATCGTATTATAAGTATCAACTCATTAAATCATGGTCATGGCGCGATCTTTAAAACAATCATGAATTCATGACCCAAACCGCTTATAAACCGAACCGACATGATCCAAACCGTTCATAAACCGAAACAATTGAACTGTGTAAACCCTCCACTAAACCGGCCCATTTCAAACAGAACCGACATGATTCACACCGTTTATAAACCGAACCGATATTGACCCGGGTAAACCCGCCCCTAAACCGACCCATTTCAAACCAAACCGGCTTGATCCAAACCGTTTGTAAACCGAACTGACATTGACCCGGGTAAACCCGCCCCCTTAACCGACCCGTATCAAACCGAACCGACATAATCCGAATCGTTTATAAACCGACCCGCTTATGACCCAAACCGAATTTAAACCGCAAAGAAATAAACCGAAACCAAACCGAGCCGTGACTAACCCAAACCGAACCAAACCGACCCGCCAGCTAAACTAAACCGTTTCAATCCGAACCGCTTCAAACCGAAACCGACTCAAACCGAGATCAAACCGAACCGCCAGATCGAAGTCCCACCCCTAGGAGTAATGTATTGCCTTCTAAAAAGCGTGGTTTCTTTCTTGGTTGGAAGGAATTTATACATTGGTACTTAGGCTTTTAGGTTGGAAAATTTAGTCCAAAAGCTACGTGCACTACAAAAACAAGTTAACTTTTTTTTTACAACCAAGAAATAGTACAAAACTACAAAATTAGCCCTTCAATTTACATGAAGTAGCAAAAGTGCAAAACGTAATAACATGAAAAGGAGCTTATTTACAAGTTATGTCATCCCTAATTGCTTGAATATCAAACTATCAAAAGTGTTATACAAAGAGTTCAAACCAACCATGCAAAGAGTTTATATAAGATGCAAAAAAGAAAAATCCCTCATTGATAAGATGATAACTGAACGATTGAGCATGGTTCTTTCATCAGTATCTGTGCTTTGATTGTCTGTTGACTGGTCAATTTCGAAGGAATTCTCGTTTTCAAAGGAAAAGAATCCTAATTTGACATATGTATTAATCTGGTAATTTCACATAACTATTTCTATATGGATTTTGCTAACAAATGTCCGTTAGATAACAATTAAAAGAGCTAGGAAGACGAAGTTATCCCATTATAAAGAGCTAGGAAACGATGTGACGCTTATACAAAAATCACTATATCAGTAGTATACAAATATCACTCCCTATAAAAACACATGGAAAAAATTGAATGGACAGTATCAATTCTCTGAGTATATAAACAACGGCCTTTGCGTTTGAAACAATGAGCCTACAATAATCATGACTTCCAAAAAATGTAAGCTTTGGTCATTGAGTTGAATAGCATGTTGTTTCCAGCCCCAAAGTTAAGAAACAACCAGTTGTGCCCTTCATCTAAAACCTGCAGTATTCCTAAACTAAGCAATTGATCCAGTAAAGGGCACTTTAGTAAGTATAACACGGCGTCTGCTGCTGTTGCCTGTTGCCCACATAATTAATCAAGTCTCCGACTGAGAAGAATTTTCTGAGATAGATGACCCTATTCGAAGCATTATGGGATAAACAGGGTCAAACTCCTTGTCTCCTCTAGACCTCACTAATGTAGCATAGTCGTCTAGAGTTGCTTTGATTCCCCTCCATATTTGATCTTCACCCTGAGAGTCCAACCACAAGGAATACTGAAGAGGCGTGAGTTTATTCCTCTGCATTGGTGACTGCAACTCATCAGGTCCTCGAGAATAAAGGTGGTGAAGTATAGTACTAGGGCGCAGATCTTGAAGCAGTGGCGATGCCTCAAGGTGAGATGTATCCAAGAAGATGACAGGACGGAATGCTCGTAGGGCCCTGTATGGAGCACCAAGCTGCTCCACTGGGAACAAATTCTGACCCACGGCTAATTCCAACTCAGCCATATCCCGAGCCATCCGCAATTTTCCAGACTCGGAAAGGGGTCTTACAAGGGAAGCATGCCTAATGAAGAACATGAGAACCCGTGAAGCCATTCCACGTGCGAGCTTAGTGGATATAGATTCAGTTCCGGTTGCTGCTGCAGTTTTAGAGGAAGGCAACAACCTGGATAGGAATTCTCTGCGGAAGTGGAGAATGCATTTCTGCAACTCCTCCATGTACGGTGAAGCATTGTTATCCATAGCAGCATCCATGCCTACAACGCCAAAGTTGTGGTCATGGATTTGCAAGATGCATGACTGAAGACGGTCCAGCATAGCTTGGAATAAGGATTCTACTGAATCACAGGCAACCCCATATACAGCACCTAGTGAGGGAGACAATACTTCAGAGGCTTCACGGGGTAGTTTTGACAACAAAGCTGATATGCGAGTGTGGATTTCTTGAAGATGCTGACACAACATGAAGTTCTTCAGTTGAGCTGGAGTTGCGGGACCTGTTATCTGCCTAGCTTCAGGCCCAGTAGATATCTGCAATCAAACAGGCATTAATTTCATGGGCAAAAAAATGAACGGAGAAAAAAAAGTCCAGGCAAATTTAGTGGAAAACCGCCAGAGAAGCATCAACACCAACAGGAAGACCTAGTCATATTTTATTCACTGAGATGGTTGGTGTCTATTTGTGTTGTCCTTCTCCATATTAAGGGCTGGATTCTCAACAACAAGCTGGGACTTTTTATAAGAAAGAAAAAGTTGATTCTAGTTTCAACAACTAGGACTCCACCATAGCTTACAAACAGAAGCAGATTTTGAGATGACAAACTAGAATACCATATTGCAGAAATCAGAAATTATCCTACTTGTTAGCATAAAATATCAATTGAGATATGGGTATAACAACTACTAGGAACAGGCAAGAAAAGAAAAGCTAACAAGCGCACATACAAAAAACGAATTTATAAGCTTATGGTTATTATCAAAGAATTCATGGAAGTAGCATTTTCAATAACGAACAAGTTTGGTTTTTCAAGGATTAATAACCAAAAAAACATACCTGATATTCAGCTCTCTCAGCCAAGAGAATCAGAACTTTGCCGATTTCACGCAGAACCAAAAGAGTCAAATGTCCATCAAATTGAACAGCTTGGATCTCTTCCTGGATCCGTGATATGATTTTGGATATGTGCTCCTTAGAGGGAACACTCCCCCGGTTGGAAACTGGCAAGACACTGTTGACAAGGTCTGAGAGACGACTCAAACAAAGGGTCAAGAATGCTGTCCGGAAAATTTCGATCGCCCCACGCATCTGCTCTTTGTTTTCTGAACTAATAGCTGGTAGAACTCCTTTGACATCAGTTTCACGTGATACTCGTTCTAACAGATTCTCAATCATGGAATAAAGTTTTGGGTAGCCCAACGTAAATATTTCCTTCACAAAACTTGAAGCAGTGAATGCAGACTTCATCTGACTTGTAAAAGATTTCACAAATGCTTCCCAAACTCGATCTGTCAACATTGGATCACCCTCCTGCAAAAGCAACAGGTAGATTAAGAAAGCAGGAAATGTCAGACGAAATCCAGCTTGAGCAGCTAGCTTGAAATGGTGATATTGGTCAAAAAAAAAAAAAAAAACAAAAGAGAGTACTTATATCTAGAACATTTGCCACTCCACGATTCATTAATACTAGAAGAAAGTAACACCATAATTTTATATATAGTAAAGAAGTGATTTGTTCCACATGATGTTTGTCTACTCAATCCAAAACATAAGAGCAAGAAAAATAAAGGTTCCACAGGGCTGATATCCAAACAAACATTTCGGATTTTGACAAAATCAACTTACTAGCACACTAACCATTACTTTTGCCCAGATTTTCTCCAACACTCAACCTCATACCTACTTTCCATATCTAAATCTCTGACACGTAGCCAACCAAAATCAATAATCAATAATGCAGCTTGTGTAGCACTAAGAGAAGATCCACCATCTTCCCTAAGCAATTTTCAAATTGTAGATGAAAAAAGATTTTAAAAAATCATAAAAAAGGCATACAAGTTATTAAATAGGTGAAAAACATGGAATCCTCAAAAATACTTCATCATTTCAATAACTGAATGCCAATCATGTAATGGCCTAGCCTAAGAGGAAGGGGCACTTATGGCAATGCAAATTATATACTTAATTAATGGACAGCTTTGAAAAGATAATTCTTTGGGTCCTGCCCAGGGGCTAAAGCATAACCATTTTCTTCAAATTAATAATAGATTGACAGCCTCCAAGTCATTGTCATCGCCATGTCAATTGTCTAGTAAACAGGCTAGGCAAAAGGAAGACATATCCCAATGAGAGAAAGATAATCTCAAAACATCTGATGCAAGACAAAATTCCATCTGTCCTTCCATATTTTACTCAATGATGTGCATAGGCCTTCAAGATCTTCCTCAATAGTGTAATATCAAGTGAAAGGTTTAAGCATTCAAACTGAATTTTCATGGTTATGATTCAATTTCCATTTGAATGGAGCAGCTGAGTCAGAATGAGACTCAGTAAGCTTAGAACTGGAATTGGAGAGAGGATTAATAAAGAAGTTAAAGACAATTTGTAAAGATAGCCCCTTACAGTGTTTAGTACGGAAAGCACAAGAGTCCACTACAGGAGAGGTGAGCCATGGTAGTGCCATACATCCATGCAGGAGTGGGGCTGGGTAATTTGATGCTTTTTTTTTTTTTTCTTTCTTGTGCAGACTATTGCTTGCAAGCTACTAAGTCTTCTAGTGTTGCTTGAATTAGGATTCTACTCCCTCCTTCCCCATATAAGCTCTCATTCCTCACAAAATGTTTGCTCCCATATAAAGTTCTCAATTTCTCATTTAGATTTGGGTCTACAAAATTAACTATACCGCTAGTTTTATAGTTAAATCACTTTTATTCAACAAATCAACAAAACCAACACTTTCTTTCACCACATATTTAAAAACACTAAACTACACCCATTAATTTATTTTTTTAATCATTTTAATCAACAAAACCCCACCAAAATCTCTCCTAAAAACTAATGCCTGAGACAGATGAAAAGTTTATTTCGGGAAGGATGTAGTAGTAAATTTTTCCAAAGTAATGTTGTGAGATTAGGTTGTAATTTTATGTTTACTCAACTCATTTGTAATCTAGATCTGAGAAAGAGTCTAAGAGATGGGGAGGACTTTGCACAATATAAAGGAGGCAGCACTCTTGCTAGTCTTGTTTAAATTCTCGAGAAAAAGGGTTGTAATATTCAAGTGCTGGGATGGTCATCAAATTCATTTTATCATCCACTGGCTCTTTATCTTTTGCACCTTATATATGTTCATACTCCCTCCGTCTCATAATATAGTTCATATTTTCCTATTTTGGAGTCCCAAAATGTTGTTCTTGTTTCTATTTTTGAATAGTATGTAAAGACCATTATACCCTCACTTTTTTAACTTTATTCATTATACTTCCTAATTACCCTTGGATTTTGCACATGCTTTGTACTTTTTTCCACTTTCTCTCTCTAACTTTGTAATTTATTGTACTTTTTACTTTTATTAATGTACTTCATCCACTTTCTCCTCCTATTTCTTAGATACCGTGAAAAAACACAAACAGGAACTATATATTGGGACGGAGGGAGTATATATTTAGTGCTTCCACTAGGACTTACAGAAAGATGTCACGTAGTTTATGAATACAATATAAAGCCTATGTTACCCTTCTCATTTGGCACTAACCAAAAATTAAACAAACATGTAATGTATGTTCAAACTTCAAACTACCAAAAGAACTAGGAAGAGCTATGATTAATCTAAGCAGAATGTAAAAGGAAGCTACTAATCAACCACAATCAAAATCTGAACTTCTACCCTTATGAGCTTAAATACCACATTCTTTACCACACATTTACTACTTCTACAAGTGAGGATCAACTAAATGAACTAATCAAGTTACGAATTAAATCATATAAAACTTCAAGAAGATCGCGACAGAGTTCATCTTCTCTTCTAGGCATACTAGTAGCAAGTATTCCCACAAAATGCAAATCAAACAATCTAGACTCACCAACTTGCTTCTACATTTTCGATTGTAAGCACATTACTCAATCAAACAATACAAGTTCACATAAGAACAGCTAAACAGTAAACATTCTGCAGTTATCAATACAAATAACAAAAGCATTTCACTCTCAATACAAAAACAGGAACAGCAAACACACCTGAATAACCTCATCCAGCAACAAAACATGAGTAAAAGGATCCCTCTTCTTAGACAAAACCCTCTGCAATAGCCAAACGGCTCCGATAATCGAATGCAGCTGATCCATACACCCACTCATCCGCTGCCAAAGAGCGTCTTTCGCTCTCGCCCCGCCCCCAATTTGCGGCGTCCCACTCCTCTGAATCCCCCCAGGACCACCAAACCCACCACCAGCACCAGAAGCAGCAGAAATTGCCTTCATATCCAATGCATTAGCAATACTCTTAACCCCCAAATTCTTATACTTAGCAACCAATCCATCAACTGTTCCCCTCAATTCCCCAAGATTATAAAACACCTGCAAACCACTTCCAACCTCAGCTTGATTCAACCCCTCTAATCCTCCCTCCAACATCTTCATCCCTTCGGCCCGAAGTTTCGACCCGGCTTCAGAAACCCACCTCAATTCCTCATCAACCACATCAATTCCACCCAAATCATTATCATTAGCTAACCCAAGAATCTCACAGTGCAATTGAGCACCCTTCAAAAGGTCCAACGATTCCGAAGAACCCTCCATTAGATCTCGAAGCTTCTTAATCAATCGCAACACCTTGATAGTAAACTGCAAATGCTGTGAAGCAGTATGAAGATTGGTTAACTGGGTAGTCTTAGATTTGATCTGGGTATGTGGGTCAGAGATCTCAGATCGAACGCGACGAACAGACGATTGGAGAGAGAAAACGGAGGATCGAACAAGGGAAAGAGCGGAATCAGCGTCTCGAAGGGAAGATAGCTGAGAGAAGAGATGATCATGGTGGGAAAGAACTTCGGAGCGAAGCTGTTTTTCGAGGAGACGAATGCCGTCTTGGAGGCGTTCGGCGGTGGAAGCGGCGGAGCCGGAGGAGAGAGCTTGGGAGGAGAAGGAGGTGGAGGAGAAGTCAGGGGAGAGGAAGAGAGAGAAAATGGGGTCGGAGGAGAAGGAGGAGAGGGGGTTGGTTGTGATTGTGGGGTCGAGGGAAGAAGAAGAAGAAGATGGGTTGTTGTTGTTGTTGTTGTCTTTGAAGGTGGAGAGGCGTTGAAGAGGGGAGGAAGAAGGAGGAGGAGAGAGAGAGGATCTATGGAGTGAAGCAGAGGAAGCCGCCATTGTTGAGGGTTGTTTATGAGAAGGAGAATTGGAGGTTGCAGAGTTTAGTGGTGTCGGAGATGATTCATGGTTACATTCATGGAATTGTGGAGATCAAAGGAAAAATTGTCAAACTGAGCGTTTTTGGAAAACAATTTCCCAAACAAGACGCGTGACAAAACTATTTACCAAACTAAGCTTTCAGGGTGGCGTTTTACCCTGGGCAATTTTTTTTTTTAATTTTTAGTCAAAGGTAAAACGCCATCAATGCTGGGCAAATTTTTTTAAAAAAAACATTTACACAAAAACGCTAACGCCGTTGGCGTTTTACTTTTAACACAAAAGCGCTAACGTCGTTGGCGTTTTAGAGTGTTGGGGTTGTCGCTGTTGCTGTTGTTGTAGTTGTTGTGGTTGTTGCTGCTGTTGTTGTTGCAGCTCCTGTGGTTGTTGTTGTTGTTGTTGCAGCTCTTGTGGTTGTTGCTGCTGTTGTTGTGCAGCTGTGTTTGTGTACAGAGATAAAACGCCAACCATGGTGGCGCTTTAGGGGGGTAAATTATTTTCAAAAAAATCACTCAGGGTAAAACGCCAACGGCGTTAGCGTTTTTGTGTAAATGTGTTTTTTTTAAAAAATTTGCCCAACAGTAAAACGCCACCCTTGATGGCGTTTTATCCTTGACTAAAAATTAAAAAAAAATAAATGCCAGGGTAAAACGCCATCCTGGTTGACGTTTTACTCTGGAAGCTTAGTTTGGTAAATAGTTTTGTCACGCGTCTTGTTTGGGAAATTGTTTCCCAAAAACGCTTAGTTTGGCAATTTTTTCGAGATCAAATGTAACATTTCATGAAATCATGATACTTGTATATTGAAGTGATCACCAATGACTAATTGCCTGTTGATCTCGGATTCTTGGTGATCGACAAAGGTTAAAATTGTAATATAACGGGCGAAATTTAATACTAACTCCATTTCATAATTATTTGAAATAATTAGACTTTTTTTCCATTTCATAATTATTTGAAATAATTAGACTTTTTTTCCTTACATATTGTATGTCAAATTGTTGCATACAATATGAAATGGAGATAGTTATTGCTTTACCCTGACGTGTATTGCATTAGTCATTCTGCTATAAAAGTGTAAAATATTAAGCATTTACTTACAACTTAATACTTTATACGAGTAGTTGCTATTCAAGGAGTTAAACTTGGATTTTCTCACTATTTAGACAATTGAAAATTAAGTATAGCATAAAGAGCATAATCATAATCTACATAGAATGATATTATAACATACAATAATAAAATAATAATCCAACCTTTTGGGGGGAGGGGCAATGGAGTTGCGGGGCACATTGATAATCATGTTATTTTTTTTTTTTTTAATTACCAGTTCAAATGATAACATATTGTAATTGTTTTGATGAGCATTGTGGGCTTTCTAGTAATCTTGTTATGGTAGCTTTGTAAATATTTAAAAAAAATTCAATTTGTTATGGATATGTTTAAGGCTAAGCTGCATATAAGCATTAATTAGATTCAAGATTCCCTTGTATTTTCAATAATATAAATACAGTTCAGTAAAATATTTAACCACATTAAGTTTTGGCAAAAAAGGGGGAAAATTTAGCGCCATATTCTATCAAAATTTCACATCCCATCAATTTCCTTTATATGGTCTTGTAAAAAAAAATTCATTAATGGATATCAACCATCATTACATAAAAATTTCTCCTGACAAATAAATCCTATCAAAAGGTACTGCTAATTTGGGGCAAAAGGCCGCATCAGGAACCCACTGGTATGTATATATGTGATTGATCATTTTTTACTAAATTAATTCTTTTTCTCCCCACCCCCTCCTCTTTTTTTTTCTTTTTTTTTTGTTTGTTTAATTATGCATGCATAAAATGAAGAATTTGTAATCTTTGTTGCATTTAAAAATTGCAAATTAATATGCCCACCATATGTTCGATAATTTGCCTCTAAGAATATTACTATTGTTTCACTTAAAATTTTTGAATTTTTTATTTTATTGTTTGCTAATATGAAACGTTAAGCATGTTTCTTATCTTTTCTCATGTTTTTAATTTCTCATAATCTAAAATGAAATGATAATTTTCCTTTGTTGTATCATAATCTAATTTCTCATGTTTCTAATTTTTTATCCTACTATTGGTGTTCTTTTTAATATTTTCTAAGAGAGGTATCTTGAATTGTTAAACAGATTTTAATGATGCTTGATTTTGATTTGAATAAACCTTTAAATAAGGAAGATTAGAGGGATTATGGTGAACCTTTTATTGGACAAACCTTTTCAAGGCAAGAAGAGGCATTTGTTTGTTATAACAATTATGCAAAAAGACAAGGTTTTGTAGCTCGTTCGGATACTAACTAAACATGGAAGGACTATTAGACAAGATCCTTTAGCCATCGCGGAGGTAACCAACGTTTAAAGGTATTTAACCCCTCTATAGCTCAACAAAATAAGGGATCATCAAGATGTAGTTGCAAAGCCCTTGTGCGGATTACTTTGAAGAAGTGCTTTGACATATTTCCGGAGGAGTGGCATGTAACAAAATTTGTTAAGGAGCATAACCATGGTATGATGTCACCACAACAAATGCGTTTTCTTGTGGCAAATCGAGTTATCACAAAAGAGGATGAAAAACAAATTTTATTATACAAGGAACTGGGGTTGCCGGTAAGACAAATAATTCGAGTGATGGAACTACAAAAAATTGTTAAGCATAGGGAGTTATCTTTTCTTGAAAAAGATGTTCGTAATCTTTTTAGTAGAGTTAAGAGGGAGCTAGGCATGGATGATATAAAAAATCTTTTTGAGCATATGGAGTCGGCAAAGCAAGAAAGTCCACTATTTCAATATGATTACACAATTGATAATGAAAACAAATTGGAAAATCTTTTTTGGTGTTAAGCTCAAAGTTTGATTGGTACCAAAAGTATGGTGATGTGGTGGTTTTTGATGCTACCTACAAAGTTAATTCATATGACATGCCTTGTGGAATATTTGTTGGTATTGATAATCATGGAAAGACAATTTTGTTTGGGTGTGCTCTCCTTCGTAACGAGACAACATCAACTTTTAAGTGGTTAATGAAGCTATATCTTTTAATATTGTTTTCATTTTTTTTTACACAAAATATAATAATTATCTAGTATATGTATTCACATTATACAGTGATTCCTTATTAACATTTTTTATTTTGTTTTTTAAATTAGAAATTTGTTACTATTATGAAGAAAGCACCAAAAACTATCTTAACCGAACAAGATCCATGAATGTCCGAAGCTATTGCAATTGAGATGCCAAGCATAAAGCATAGTTTTTGTATTTGGCATATCACTTCAAAATTTAGTTGTTGGTTTGCCGCACTTCTACGTGATGACTACCAAACTTGGTGTGGTGACTTTTACAAGTTATACAAAATGACTAATCCTGAAGATTTTGAACAACATTGGCCTCTAATGGTAGCAAAGTATAACATGGAAGACAATAAACACATTCAAGGTTTATACAAAATAAGAAGGTTTTGGGCACCTGCTTATCTCTGTGATAATTTTTTTGGAGGGAGGATAACTACCGGAAGATCGGAGAGTATAAACGCGTTTATCAAGCGGTTTGTTTCATCTCATATGAGTCTGACTGAATTTGTTAAGCATGTTTGTATTTTTCTTATCTCAACAACTAACTATGTTCTGATAATATTTGTTTGGTATCATGTTAGTCTTTTTTTTTTCTACTATTTACTATATATTTTTGCACATAAAAAAATTACTTATAAAAAATTATGGGTGGTGTTTTTTTTTTTTTTTTTGTTTATGGCTAAATAATATAGGTGGATATTGGTGTTGAAGAAATTATTCAAGGACATGCACATTTGAGCTTGACTACCTTAATTAAACCAACTTCTTTAAAAACAAAGTCACCTTTGGAAGAGCAAGTATTTGGAGTGTTTACGCCATTTGCTTTCAAAAAGTTTCAAGAAGAACTTACAAGGGAAACTCTATATTCTATAATTCATGTGGAAGGTTATGAGTTCATGGTGAGATTATGAAGGTGACAATAAAATCTCTCATAGAGTCTTTTGGGATGGAAAAAATACAGCAATGTGTAGTTGTAAAAATATTACGGGTGTTGTTCCATAAAGATTGTTTCAAGATCCCTTTCTCCTATTTACCTCTACGATGGTGTTGTGATGCATTACAAGCTACTACTAGTACTCAAGAAGTTGTACAAGATAAAATGTTTTCGGTAGAGGAACTTACTCCGATGATTAATGCATCCATGGGTGATGTGTTGTGCCCTCCACAATCCAAAACTAAAGGGCGTCCCAAAAAGAAGCGTGAGAAGGGTGAAAAAGAAGTTGTAAAAAAGAAGACTAAGAGTTATTCCATTTGTAAGCAACCTGATCATACAAAACATACATGCCCTTATAAAGAAAATATTTTCCCCTCACAAACTACAAATGATGGTGATTCTATTGTGAGGATTTTTAACAAAGTTATGCTAGAAAAGCAAGCGTGGAGAATTTTGAGTAACAAGGAATCGCTTATGTCTCGGGTGCTTAAGGGTAAATATTTTCCTACCTCAACTTTCTTTGATGCTAAAGATGTCCCAAATATGAGTTTTACTTGGAGATCGATTCTAAGTGCTAGAGAGGTGATTGAGAAGGGTGCTACAAAAACTATTGGTGTGGGGAATAGTGTCCGCATTTGGGAAGACCCATGGATGTCTAATCTCCCAAATTTTCAAATTTTTTCACCAAAGAGAGATAGAAGTGACGTTCCGATGAGTATGAACGAATTATGGGAAGATCAGAGCTTAAAGTTGACTACTCTCTCTGAGTTGTTTTCTCAGCAGGAAATTGATGGTATTTGCAACATTCCTATAGCCATGTTTGAAGAGGAAGATGGATGGTCTACGCATCACTCGAAGGATGGACTTTATAGTGTGAAGAGTGCTTATAATCTTCTTGTTGAAGAAGAGGAAAGGGGTAAGGCAACTTCGTCAAATGGGCAACTTGATTTCAATTGGAAGAGTATTTGGCATGCTTGTATCCCACCGAAGATCAAATTATTTGCGTGAAGAAGTGTGAGGGAAGGGCTGCCTGTCATGAGTCGTTAGATGGGTAGGGGAATGAATGTAGATCACCGTTGCCCAATGTGTGGGGAAGGGGAGGAAACCACAGCTCATATGCTCCTCTTTTGCCCAGTTGCTACCTCACTATGGAGACATTTAGTGTTGCGACTTGAC